CAAAAGATATCCTGGAAAGAGAGGTATTTCCTTGTTGTAAGTGGTCTATAAGTCTTCCAGGAGTAGCAACAACTATGTTCACCCCTGCTCGAAGCTCAGACCTCTGTCTTAGCATCCAATAGAAAACAGAAATCACATAATATCATGAGATCAATCAAGATATACATTTACACAAAAAAGTAAAATAATGGACCAACAACTTGTGTTAAGTGACAAAATAACAAACACTTGCTAAGTAGCAACACTTTCTTCGTTCTTTGGTGGCTTGTTACAGTTATTGCTCAATGATTTAAACCGGCAAAGCCAAAGACCCCATACAAAGATAACTGGAGAACCAGAACACACAAGTGGAACAAAAACAAATTACCTGATCACCAATGTTAGTCCCTCCCACTACAATTGCAGTCTTAAAGGAATCAAGAGATCTACTGAAAGCTTTAACCTGAAAGGATATAGTTTACAACCAAAAGTATAATTAACGGAAATACTTTGTGACTAACATCAAGACTGAGTACAAGTACAGAGCAATTTTGGAGTTGATAAAGCATCATTTGCGACCTCTGTTTCTATTTGTTGTGCAAGCTCTCTTGTAGGTGCCAATACCAATGCCAATGGTCCATCACCACGTCGTAGAGGAGGCTGAGCTAGGCAGTGCTGTTAATCAAACAGATAGAGTAGCAAAATAAGTTTTTTTTTTTAAAGGTACAACAAGACTGGCACCAACATAAAAGAAATATTTTGCAGTTCATGATCAAACACTGATTGCTATAAGATCCGAGTGTAATAAAACCTGAATCATTGGTATAGTGAATGCAGCAGTTTTTCCACTCCCAGTTTCTGCACAACCCAAAAGGTCCCTCCCACTAAGGGCAACTGGCATGGCTTGAGCTTGAACAGAGGTAGGGATAGTATAATCATGCAGTGCAATATCCTTCATGATGCTCGGGTGCAAGCACTGCATGAATAGAAAAAGAATCATATATATCCATGCCAAAAAAAAATAAAAAATAAAAAAATAAAAAAATAAAGACAAATGAAAAAGCAAGTGATCTTACCATATCAGTGAACGATTCTACAGGTGCAGGCGCAGGATTTGAATCCATAGCAACTGCAACATCAACATTAAGTCTCAAGCGAATCTCTTCTATCTGTAATATAGAAAGCAATACATCAAAATGTTGAATCCAAACATCTGAAATTATAATTATAAAATATGGCTAGTGCAATGCCAACCCATCCATCCTTTTGTTAGAGCATCTACATATTGAATATTTTTTGGGAATTAAGCATCTCTACCTATCAGATCTGCTTTAACTAACACTTTAGTATTATAACCAAAAATAGCACTACTAGTTCACATTCTTCAAAATGCAAATACCAACCAAAGTATTGGATAATGATTCTTGCACAGGCATAGAAAAATAACAGCATGTACTCTCTCTATGCCTTCATTTGACCAGGTATATATAGAATCTGCTTAACTTCATTTTCCATTACTCCAGCCATAAACCAAATACATGTTTTCATTTATCAAAACACAATTCTAAATTAAAGTATTGGACACCAGTTCTTCCCCAGGACAAATCGAATACTAACAAAAAACTACACTGTCATGCAAATTCCAATGTCTTCTAGCATACTTGAAGACTATAAAGCATGCAGCCTACCATCAACAAACGTAGAACTCATTCTTTCCTTTCCTTGCTGTCATTTTAAAGGTGAAAAGAGGATCAGTGTCAAACAAAAGTTTTGAGCAAATAGAAAAGATACATTAAATGAAAGAAGTAATGAATCCAATCCATCATAATTTCAAATTTTACTTATTAATTCCGCACCATTATTAAAGAGTAACATATTAATATCCAAATAACCAATGAACTCATACAGAAAGTGATACAATCAGTGAACAAAGTTACAAGCCTAACAAGCAGAAGACTATTAGTCATAATCAAACCCTAAAAACAGAACCAAAACGGTGGTGAATGCCTAAAATGAGAACAACAGTAAATAACTAGGCACAAAAGGATTTACCGCATTGAATAGTTTAAGTTCACGAAACGCACAGTGACATTTCCGAAGCCAAATAAAAAAAAATTCTAAATGAACAGAGACCGAGAAGACGGAACCTGTTCAAGTTTAAACAGGAGAACACGTTCGGACGGTTTCCACTGAGGAAAGACGGGGTCAGGCGCGACTAGACCTCTCGGTGACAAGTAATTAACGGTAGCGCATGAGTTCCGGCCGGCATCATTCGAGCAGTATTCACCATTACTGATAAAACCGTTCTTCGATTGAGTAAATGACGGCAATTGGCGAGAGTTGAGCTCCGAGTGCAAGTGATCGCCGCCGTTGCTCACCACAGTGGTGGCGGTGGTGGAGTTTCTCAGGTGAGGAGGTACATAAGACATTGCTCGATTTTCTTCTCGCTGGATAAGATGAGGGAGATGGTCACTGAAAAGAGAAATTCTAGAGAGAGAAATGAGTGAGCTCTGAGATATAAACCGATACGGCGATACTAGTAGAGATTTGGTTTAGTGGTTTAGTGGATTTCTATTTACTGATATGGCGTCATATGCGTGCTTCTGTAAACTCTTTTGAATTTATTATTAATTATTTCAATAAATAAATACTAGAAATATTTAGTACTCAACTACTCAATAGTTCATTTTTCTTGTCACGATTTCGGTATCATTTCCACATTTAGCCTTTAATTATTAATTTTTCACATTTATAATTTCACAATTTTAAAATCTTATCAAATTTAATTTTCAATCACCGATGACTTATCGTTTAACTGAAGTATGGTCATCGATGATAAAAAATTAAATGTGACTAGTAAAATAGTTAGTTCATCAGTTAATTTTAGTTTATTTGACCACTATTAATTGGTTAATTTGGTTAAGCAATCAATATAGTGTTTGATTAATTAGTTTTTTGTAACAACTTATTGTTCTAAAATGTTAAATTTCAAAAAACTGCTTAAAGTAGCTTTTTTCAGTCAGTTTTTTGAAAAAGTCATTTTGTATTTAATCAGCTAACAACTAATTTATCAAACACTTTTCTACAATCAGCTAATGCTATCAACTAGTCAAATCTACTAACTTAATCAATCACTTACCAAACATCCCCTAAATGTAAAAGTGTCTCATAGCCGTGGGACCACAATTATAGAGTTAATACCTAATTTGGTCCCTTCACTATTATAATTTCACCACTTTGATTATTGACTTCCAAACTTGCTTAATTTCATCATCAACTATGCAATTGTTAACCAAAATGGTCTTAATCAAGACTATTTTGGTTTTGACAACAGACTATTTTAAATTAAAATTGCATAGTCAGGAATGAAATTGAGCAAGTTTGAAAGTTGATGACCAAAGCGGTGAAATACTAATAGTCAAGTTACCAAATCAGTTATTAACTCCACAATTATATTGCCAAGGACCTTGTGGTCTAGTGGCACCAAGTTACTCCCTATATGAGAGGTTATGAGTTTGAGCCTCAAGTGGAAACGATATTGACTATTTGATTCTATACTACATTGTAACAGAGTCACTAGTATTCAAAAAACTCCACAATTATATTTGAAAAAGAAAGTCTACTCCGTAGTGCCGCAAATTATGCCGTGCAACCGTGTGCACCATGCACGGTTGCAAAAACGGCATCGTTTTGATTAAAAATGACGCGTTTGACTTAAAAAAATCATTTTCGATTGCCGTTAATGGCACTATGCTGTGCTATATATCCAGAATTAATGAATTATATATCCAGAATTAGTGAACTATATATCCACACCGGTTACTGGTACTCTGTTTTAGCTTATGACAGTTCGATGCGTCTGTGTATTCAGAATGAATGAACTATATGCTCAGAATTAATGAACTATAAATGCAGAATTAGTGAACTATATATCCATAATTAATGAACTATATATCCAGAATTAGTGAACTATGTATCCAGAATTAATGAACTATATATCCAAAATTAGTGAACTATATATCAACACCGAAAATGGTAGAAATCTTGTCAATTGGAGTTAAAAAAAATTAAAATAAAATTGATTGGTGTAGTTAAACGGTGCCACTAACAACACCGTTACTCCACCATAGTGAAACGACGTCGTTCACAACCGTGTGCACCTAGCACAGTATAACGATTGCCGTAGTGTCAATCGTTATGCCATGGAACCGTGTTCACTATTCATGGTGAACATGGTGAACACGGTTCCAACGGTGTTAGTACACCGTTATCTTTTTTTTCTTTTTTTTGATTGCGTGACTTTTCTTCTTCATTTTCACATTTCGCGGTTTCACTTTAATTTGAGGTGAGCAATGATTTTGGACATTCATAAATTATGAATTCATGCCTGCACATTCACTTTGGAATCATGCATACACATTCTCGTCCGAAATCACGGACATTCATAAATTATGAATCTATGCCTGCACATTCACTTTGGAACCATGCCTACACATTCACTTTGGAACCATGAGATTATGAATTTTATGTTATAAGATTATGAATTTTCAGTTATGAGATTATGAATTTTCTGTTATGAGATTATGAATTTTCTGTTATGAAATTATGAATTTTCTGTTATGAGATTATGAATCTACATTACATTCATAATCTCATAACAGAAAATTCATAATTTAATAAATATTCTACTTTTATACGATTATGAATTTTCTGTTATGAGATTATGAATTTTCATTACATTCATAATCTCATAACAGAAAATTCATAATTTGATCAAACACGCGCTGTTAATTCTACATCTGTGATTTTTTTTTTTTGCCTAAAAACGACATCGTTTAGACTTGTGTTCACCATTCACGGTGAACACGTTTCCCGGGCATAATTTGCGCCGTAGTGCGTACTAGGCCAGTAGGCCATGATAAATTGGGCCATCATGACTCCAATCGGTCAAATTTGGGCCGAATTTATTCATATCCTGGATAACTGCGACTCAGGCTGATGATCGCTCCGGAAAAGTTGAAACGCTCTTCGTATTTAGCGCGAAAATACTGGAAAAAGTTCGACCAGCTCCCGCTTCATCAATCATCCAGTTGTTTGTTCGCCGACCAAGCACCAACCGCGAAATATATCCGTTGAGAGGTTCCTACGATCACAATCTCACATTTCACTTCGAATTCATCCATCTCTCAGTCTCTCCGTAATCGGCCAGTTTAGCTAACGCTTCGGTTGAATATGTTCTGCCTTTTAGATTTTACAGTGGACGACTTCATTAGCTTCGCGTTAGACGAGTTTATCCGTCTTCTCCAACTATTTTGAATTTTCCAGAAGGTACTGTTAATGCAGCTCTTCATGCTTGTTTGCAATCTCCCTGTTAGTGTATGTAGTTAGTTCCTTAGGACAGCAGTTAAATTTGAATGTTGCATATATGCTTCCTATGTAGATTTCATTCTATGATTTAATACAATCCATTTCTTATAAGATCATTACTATGTCCACGCTCAACATCAACACAGAATTGTGATGTACGGTTTAGTGATTTACATTTCCGGAATTATAGTTTTGATTCTGCCATCTAGTTTGCGGATCAATCGAGATTCGCCATCTTTTTTTGCCTTTTGGTTTAGTTAGGTACATCGTAGTTTGTGCCTTAAAGCATATCTGAAGTCCTAGTGACTATGGTTAAACCACGAGTCTACTCTAACATTGTTGCTTTGCTTTGGTCAAGCTTAGAATTTCAGCTTCAGAGCAAACATTGTAATTTCTGTCTGTACTTGGTAAATACCTCTTTTTCCCTTGAATTTTGAATCTAGGATGAGCTTAAGCTCTGTGTTTGAATATAGAAATTATCACAGAGGTATAAGTAATTCAAAACTGAGGTTTCAGTGAATTCAGGGCTCTCAATTAGTTTTAGCATGATGAGAAGGTATAAAGGATATTGTAAATAACATAATGTAAGAAATCATTAATTTCATATGATTGATCAGAGTTGTACACACAAAGTTCAGAAACTATTGCTGAAAAATTGTGTTGATGGTATGCCGCTTGATCTGAAGAGCTACATTTCATTTATATTTTAAGCTTGCTGTAGTTTGACTGACATGATTTCTGTCTTATTCTTTTCATTTTTTTTATTTTCTAAATTCGTATTATGACTTTATCACCATCTTCAATTTGGTGTAGGTTTAGGTTTTGAGAAAGATTTCTATCTTTGCAATGTTACAGTGGATGGGTGGATCAAGACGCAAAGTTACCACTGTAAGTTTGAGCAGAAACTGCAATGTATCTTTTTTGTGCCAGAGTATATGTTTGGAAAATGTGAAATTCTATTACTTAAAACACTCATAATGCATCATATTTCTTCTGGAAAAGTGTGTCAAGTCATCACTGTAGGTTTTTCCTTTTTGTGTGTGATTGGGTTATCTGTGAATTCTCTAGTGACTATCCTGGCCTTATCAGAGTTTAGTCGTCTTGCATGAAAGATGAAATGAAGCAGAAGCGGGAAGCTTGTGAATAATTATTGTGATTTTTGAGTAATTTCTGTTCCAACTCCTTTTTTTTGAAGTACATTTATGTTCCAACTCTAATTACATTTAGATTGAGGAATGCTGAAAGTCTGAAACAGAACCTCTATGTTCACTTCTTCCTTGCCAAAAACTCCATATTGAATTTAACTCACTATTATTATTTGGAGATATGGAGGTATACGCTTACCTATCTGCTCAATGATCTCTTCCTTTCATAATCAGTACTATTTTCTCAACAATGAGATCTCATGTTTGTTCAATACTCACAGCAATTTGTCATTTCAGAGTTCAATACTTTGTCTTGTTTCCCTCTTCCTTTTCCCCCCTTTCTCGTGCACTACCTCATGCCCTCTGTTCATGACATTTTTCATGATTCCTGGGGGACATTAGTCAAGGAAGTCAACACAGAAAAGGTACGGAAACAGCTTCCTACACTATATTAATTCTGTGCATATAACTTTTTTTAACTTTTGCTTAGATTTGCATAAAATGAATTTACATATAATCTTACATATTCTTAACATGACTCCAAGTTCTTAGTCTTACAGGCAAAAGCAATACTTTGAACAAAGAAAACGAAAACAGCAGCATCAGCAGACAGATGTGGAAAACTACTATGATGGAAATAACACATATAGTCAGCAAAGCAAGAATAATAAGTCACTGGATGTTCTCAGTCTGCTGAACCTTTCAGCAGTTTCTAAAGAACCCAACTCCCGTTGCCCCCAAGGTTAATTTATCTCAAATGTCAACCATGCTCTTCAATGACTCTTTAGGTATTTTGCATATGAATTTTCTAATGTGTACACTAATTTCTTGATAAATGTATATTTAAGCAGGGAACAATGAAGGCATTACTCTCAGTCCTAACCATCAGACCATATCGTGCCCTCGAACAGTTCAAACCAATGAAGCTACTGAAATGAGTCCCCCTAGGTTTGAGGAAGGTGCTGCTTCCATATTAAGTTATTTTTCTCTGCATGCTCATTGCTTGTAGTTTGGATAATTGGATCCACTTGCATTTATGATTCTTTTTCCTCGCAGAAAGTTCATCATGTTTTCCTGTGGATACTGTATGCCCAAAGAAGTAAGCATGCACAGCTTTAAAATTTTAAAGATTGGAACTTTAATTCATTGACTTCCATTTATGCAAATTCCATTCTTGACTTCCATTTATGCAAATTCCATTCAGTGGAATACTTATTGGCAGCATATGTGAGTGACTATATCTGCCAGCTTGAAATTCTCTAAATTATGATGGATATTCCTCAGAAATATCTGCTTCTTCACTACTTCCCTCTGTGTGCTCCATCATTCTTGTAATTTAAATTAATGTGGCACTTCTCCATAAATTATACTCCTTTCATTTTTTTTTTTTTTCTTTCCTTTTTCAAAAACCTGTTTGTTTAGTACCTTTCAGTTTTCCAGTTGGTGCACCTGAATCCCAAAAGCAAAAGTTGAAGGGCAACTGGAACATCTTAAATCTATCGAAGATGCCAGCTGAGCACCGTGAGTAATTTCTGTTTCATAATACACACACATACACATTATTTTCACGTCTCATTAGTTTAACTAGAATCAAAATTACATTTTCATAATTGTAGATCATTATTTATTATTATTGCTCTTTGGAGTTCTTATGGAGTAATCACCATGTGATATTATTTGATTATTAGAACCTATGGAAATTTTAATAAAATCATTCTGTAATTATTTTTTCTAAGCTTATTTGAATAACTTATTTACATCTCATTTTTACTGTCGGCAGAGCTATCTGTTATCGATATTATCAGTGATGATGGTCCAAGTAGCAATTTTAAAGAAAGTGCTGGAAATGAAGCTCATGTTGCCTTTTCTATTCAAGGTACAATGAAATATCATTCATTTAGAATTGTGTGTAATCCCCATGGAAAACCATTTAGTTAAGGAAAAAGATTTTCACCCCTGAAGCCCTCAGGAAGCTTCTGAGAATCTCTATTTGTTTTGTGTCTTATCCCAATGATGCATTTTTCTGGTAATGCAATATTGGATTTTGTTGTCTACTTGATTGGTTTTACTCGCAAATAATTTTTAGAATATATATATATATATTTTTTGGAATCTTCTGATAAGGATTAATTACCTTGGAATTACAACTAGTCATGATGAAATCAGAAATGTTTTTGGTTTTTGCTTAGGATTTTCCATCCACATCCTTTCGACCTCCATAGTAAAATCCTTTGGTTTCTACAGTGTGCTCAAATATTTGGTTATCATAAGATATTTTGTCTACTGTTACTTCTACGGCCATTTGAAGCTGTTAATGAATATGTATCTGAGACTGACATATGACTTGGATACCATAGCTTACTGAGGGCATTATCTACCCATCAGGTTTAGGTAAAGTGGATGCAGAAACACCTGTCCATTCACCGGAGAGGCCTGGAAGGTAATTGTAAGATGTATTGATATGTTCTGCAGAGTTTCTAGAATTGAAAAAATATGTTTATGATGTACATTTTGTTGATAACAATGATGGCAGTGCATGGGGTGATGCTTCTAGGGTGAAGTGATTTTTTTTTTTTTAAAAAAAAATTTTCTGTGATTTCTCTATAAAGAAAAGTGATGCTTTAATTAAATTAAATTCACGATTATCATCGAGGGTTATAGACATAGTAATTTGAGCCTGTGGAGAAAGTTCTGTTTTCCAATAATACATGAACATTCGACCTCTGTATCAGCGCACATGTTAGGCTGTTACTTTCTTTGGAAAGCTAACAGTCTTTCATATTTTTCTATTCTACCTTTTTTGGGGAAATTATCATCAAATTGTTCTGCTATTTCCCAAAGCATAACTGAGCTTGTTTTTTCCCCTATTAGAAAATTTGTATCCTTTGGCATTGGGATGTTCGGTTATAGCCCCACACTAAATGTAGGAAAAATGCTTGTATAATTATATCAATTATTTGACTGCAGGAATTTCTTGTATGGACAGTATTTTCCATCAAAAGAAAGGAAAAAAGCTCACTCATCATTTAAAAACCTTACTAGCAGGCCTGACAGCCTTAAGCATGAATTGGTAAGAGCTGTTCAGTTGGTAATTGACTTGAAGATAAGCTTTAAAGCTGATTATTTAAATCAAACAATTATTCTTTTTGGCATTGATCTTGTTTCTGGAAAATAATAAATTTTCAAACAGCTGCATCAGCCCCTTCCTTTTATTGGAAAAATTAACATAATTCTTGGTGACAAGTCTAATGAGTTAGATGAACAAATTACAGGATACAATGATGAGGGATATTGATATGCCTTTACATAGAAGTCCTGTAGAACCATCTTTCTGCTCTAGGAGCACTGAGGATTTATTTAGCAGCCCTACGCCGAACTTGTTTAACAAGAAAATCTCTCCAGTTCCTGATTATGATATGTTTGAGGACATTTTTGAAGATGAGGAGCTCTTTGGAAAAGAGAGAAGAAATAAAATTTGGAAAGGTAGTATCCTTGATTCACTTCTTTGCATTGTCCTTTCCTTTTATCAAGATATATAAGCTCAAATTTAGTTTCTTCCAAAATATTCTGGAATACAAGTATACAACTATTATTGTTTTGTTGGTGCATTATTACATGTGCTTATTAATGGCATTTAGTATTGTTAGTCGATTTTCTGAGTAAATGTTACATTTCTAAGAAATAGTTTTTAAAACTTTTTGAGTAACAGTACGTGTTAGGATGAAAAAGATTGGACCAAAGGCTTTCACATGCATACTGAACTTCTAAATCAGCTGTATTGCACTTGATTTTAATTACCTCGTATATGTCAAAGGGGGCATGGAATAAATTGTCTACTTTTGTCATTTCAGCAAGTCCCTCATTTCTACCTTATGGAATTATTGATCAAGAAGAATATGGTTATGGCATTATTGATCAAGAAGAATATGGTTCACCTTGTAAGGACAAGTTAGATCAAATAGATTCTGGTCCTATTCATTATGCAGATAGAAATTATGAGCACCAAGGTTTCTCCTTTGAGACCCACCAGTGGAAGAAAAGGTTGTCTTCTAGTATTCTCAATGATATTTCTAGAATCATTCAATTCATTATTCTATACTAACCGTGTGTGTGCATAGCCAGCATGATATCACCTCTTGAAATCAATGACACAGGTGCTTTCTGTTTCTTTGTTAATGTTAAATGTTCTTTGATTTTGTTACATGTTTCTTGTGTGGGTAGTGGGTACAACAGGAAATGTTCATTTCATAAATCTAATCATCAGTATTATCTGGGTGCAATTTGTATTTTTTTTTAATCATTTGAGAGGTTAAAAAGATATAGTACAAATGAATAAACTGATTTAAATAAAAAGATCTTTACATTAAAAACACACAGCCTCACACATTGTTGGAATTTTGAAAAACTTTTCAATCAGGTTTTTGGTATTGGACATTCTGGAATTTGGTGTTATTATTTCTATATATGAGTTTACATGTTTTTGACAAATATGCAAACCCACCCTTTCAAAGTGGTTTACAGAACACTAAAAATTCTTGAGGAGACTACTTTCTTGATGTCCACTGATGAAACATTTTCTTCATGAATTCTTCCCTGATTGCTTTAATCAGTTTCCCCTGCACTATTTTCCAAGCGCCGGATGGCACAGTACTTTGAAGATCCATCAGTTCCAAATATAAAATGGTATGAAATTTTGCTCTAGGGCATATAATCTGCTCTTGAGATTTCATCATAACATATAGGCCTTGGTGATTTCTAGCAGCAACTACTCTTTGGGAACTAGAGAGTATGATTTGGGTGACTGCAAAAAACAGACAGAGCACTCTTACTCTGCATGTAATGACACAAAGGAGAGTTTTTATTTACCCAGGTTAGCAATTTTTTACTTTTCTTTTTTTGTCGATACTCTTTTAGTTATGACTTATTTGGTTTATTCTGACCAAACTTTTGTTTCAACTTTCAACTCAATGCCAGCGAAGAATCATGCTTTTCAGCTTCAGGTTTCTTAACTGCTTCATTGTTAAATCTTATTTGCATGATTTGTCTGAACTTTTTCACATCATCTCTCTCTCTCTCCAGTGAAGGGTGACAATAGCAGAAGCCGCCATGGCATATATCATAAACAGACCATGGAGACTAAATTTAGTCCCAGGAATGTATTTGGGAAAGGAATATTCTACAGTGATAGGAATGATAGAAATGTTGGCGGGCGAGAAACCTTCCCAGTTTCATCAAATATTGCTCGAGAAAGGAGTTTATATCCGACAAACCATGGATTCTCAAAGGATATATTCGATCTAGGTGAAGTGATCTTGGGTTCTGATCTCTACACTGAAGATTCCTTTGCTGCATCACCTCAGCCTCGATCACATTTTGATAAGTGCAGAGATTTTCCTGCTGAACATTCACATTGCTGCAAACATAGGCCAGAAGAACCCAGTATCCGGCAACCAACCAGAATTATAGTTCTAAACCCTACATCTGGATCAAAGGTGCCAGCTTTATTTCAGACCTCCAAAAGCGAATGCAGTCCTCAGAATGGCTATTTTGATCTCCAAAGAGACATCTCCCAAGCTAGCAATATTTCATCATCAGACAAAGTATTGGTGGATTCATCATCATACCTTGAAGATCAGTGCAGCGATACTAGAAAGGAACCAAGCTGCAGAACTCCTGATGTAACTGATACTACAAATGCATCAAAGCCTCTGGAACAAGCTGAAGAGACTTCTTCGTGTGCTGAGATTCCGGTTGCAGTCGAGGAAATTCATGTCACTGGAGATCCAAGTAAGGCTCAATCTGAATAATCTGATAAGTTGGTGTTTTTAAAAAAATAAAATTGTTGCATTTAGATATTATATTGTTCACCCCACCCATATCCACTCCTTAAGTTGGACTTTGACATAAGTTCATTTTTAGTATACTGCACGTTCATTTTTAGTAGGTTCATTATAGTTTGATATATATTCATTTTTAGTGTATTACAAATCAAAATAAATATGTCGTAATAATATACTAAAAATAAACAAATAGATACTAAAAAAATACTCCCTAAGGGTTTAGACTTGTTACATGAATATTGGTCCATGATATAAGCATTGATGCTTGACTCTACCAAATTCATACTAAGGTTTAATTTGGTGAAGGCACTGTGTCTGGTGTGTTTGGTATGTAAGTGGACCACCAAATAATGAATTGGCTTATCTTCTATGTACATAGAATTGGGGGCTCAGCGGCTTACATTGACAGTAGTCCATATACATTTATATTGTTAGTGACGGGATAAGGTTTTTGTTGATTATTTCTTCCGTAACCATCGGCCATGTTTATTATAGATAAAAAGACAATGATAGAGAGAACTATGCATTTTTTTTTCTTTTTGCCCATAATGTGTTTTGCTTTTTCACTATTTGCTTCAATCTTAGTGGCTCCTGGGCGTTTTCAGCATTTGATTGAGAGTTTTAAGTAATTATTGATTGTTGATGTATATTGATTATTGATGTTGTCTACATAGCTGTGTAGCCCATGAATGCAATATACATTTTTAATATACTGAATGTATATTATTTGATGATATATAAAAAATTATGTATTATGTATTTTTATGTATATAAATAATATATATTTTTAATATATTAATTAAAAATGTATTTTTTAATTTATTATTCACATAATTTGTGAACCATGGTGAATGAAATAATGATTGGTGTATGGATGACCCAATTCAAAAGTCGCATGGAAGCATGAAATGATGAATTTATGGGCCGGCAAACTCCTTTCTATTGGTGAGGCGGTTCAATAATAATCCATATTATATTATTTTTATTGTGCATTAGCATTGTACCGGAAAAATAATGAATAATAAATAAGCAGCCACGGAGTAAATAGTAAACAGAGTAGTTGCGAACGTGCATGCATGCAATGCACATGTATTGATGTATATGAGCGCAACGACACAATTCACATGGAAGGAAAACTAAAATAAATTATAGATTTAAAAATTAAAGGAAAATAATAATAATAATATTCGGCCTTATTAGGGTGTTTGGTGAGAGCGAGGACCACTCATTTACTAGCAATCACCCATACATTAATATTTACACAAATCTATTTTTTCATGTAAATGGTCTGAAATCAACTTACCTACTATTTTGACTAGGTATATTTAAAATCAACAAGTATTTCGTAATTTTTATGACACCCTAGCCTCCAAAAGAGAAATAATTACATGTGTACGATAAAGAAACGAAGAGTTGAATAGAGTTCCGAACATCTTGAATACGACTCAATATTTATTTCTCTCTGATAAATATTGTTGAAAATAAATTTAATATTTTAATTTACACGATAGTTATTTTAATTTTAAGTACCTATAAAGTTTCTTTCTATTTTTTAATTTATTCGAATTTAGTCTTTTACAGTATGAAAAAAAATATATATTATCACAAGCAGCTAAAGGGTGCAGGAATGGCATCATTTATGATACGTGTATGTAATAATTACATGCGTGTATATCACAATAAATGATGTCGTGATTAGCATCTAGCAAAGCATTTGCATTGAGTGGGTTTATTATTATTATTGTTATTTTTTATGTTTAAATTAATGTGAGCCATAGATCGGTGCGTGAATGTTACCAATTTTGAGGAAACCAATGGCGATGGTCTCCCTGCATGGCTGCATCTATTACCCTTCAAAATGTTAGGTGTGAACTACACTATATACACCCACATATAACGCCTTTCTATACACACACCTAATTACCGGCCGGTCAAACTTACCAACAATTTCCACATACTTTATATAAATAGCGTTTAAAAAAAAAATCTTTATCTTTACCAAAATAATAATATCAATTATTGACGTGAAACCTTATAATTCAGCATAAGATGAAAATTATGATTTCTCACCAACAAAGACCGTTAAGATTAGTCATTTTTATATATGGACGTGTAAAGCCTATTAGCTAACGTATGGACAAATTATTATTTGCAGTTATAAATCATTAAAGTCTCCACTAATAAGTTGAGAAATTAATACAATCAAAATTGCTATCTCGTAACAAATTAAATAGTTAATAATACAAACATCAATAATTGAAGGGTTGAAATCAATATTTCATATGAATATATTGACAAACTACTTTTTTCTATAATTATAATAACATTTCATGAAGCTAGTCAAAAAGGTACTGTTATAAATCGAAGCATGTTACAGTATTTTGTAAGTAGCTTTACAAAAATGTCATTCATTTTTATTTATAACAATAAATATGATGTTTTTGCCAATAGTATAATCGAATTTATCAGTTTTAATTTTGGTACATACAAAAATCATGTTATGCCTACGCGACCACCCCTTTCGAGGCTATTATTATTATTATAATTATTATAGGTGATGGAATAATCACGGAGCCGAAGCGGAACAACACAATATGAACCGGGTCGGACCCCGTGCCCACCCGCGGAGCAGGACGAACCACCCCGGGGTCGGCGTGGGCCGACCTCCCCGAGCTCGGGCGAGCCCCATGGGCTCGACCTCGGCCCCCATGGGCTCTGCCCATTGGCCGAGCTCCGTGCTCGGCCAAGGGCCGGGTCATCGCGTGAAGCGAGTCCTGCGGCTCCTCCCGCGGCCCCAGGGCCCGTAGCAGTCGAGGAGTATATAAACACTCCCCGGTGTCCTAATTATGCATCTCATACTTTTCCTACAACATTTGTCTTATTATTACACGTCTCGAACATCTGTAATAGCGTTTTATGCTCAATTAATATGATATTTATCGTTTTGTTATTTATTTTTTATACTGAAACATATATACGGATTGCATAATCCGGACCCCCGAATTCATATAATCCATCAATAGGCGTTAGTTACAACTTACAAAATTTTGCCACCATTATTATTATGCTACGTTTTATTTTATTTTATTTTTCTATCATACTCAATTATCAAGTCTCGTGCAACATGGTTTGGGACTTTGGGTTGTTTGTATATATATATAGTATTCACATTCCTTGTCCTGTTGTCCTGCCGTCCTTTCTATTGAAAATAATATTGCGCGTACCCACGTACGATTAATTAGTTGCACCATACACATACATATGTATGTTACTCCCTTCTTCTTATTTTTCTCAATTTTTTTTATAACTCAAGTTTCCTGATTTTATCAGAGGATTTCATAGACCTTCTAAACCTGTCTCTAAATCGAGTTAATCTAATTTTATAACTCAACATCAAACTATATATTTATGCGCACTAGGAACCCAACCCAAATCTATGTTCGTGGTAGAATTCGAACCATCACTATGCCACTTGAAGCAAATCTTGAGCTAGTGTGACTTCTCATTTACTAATCAATACCCTGAGACTTTTTTATCCGATATTATTGTAGTCGAGTGATCTTGATTTATATTTTAGGTTAAAATATTTATTTAATCCCAATTATTTCACACGCTAACAAAAAAAAAAATTATGTGCAATTTTTTTTTTTTTTTTGAAATGAAATAGCAATTTTTATACTTTGTTATCGTAAGTTTATTTTTAAAAATTACTTATAACCCAACATGACATAGCAACACATAATATTACTAAAATATTATGAATAAAAGTGACCAAGTGAGTAAAATATGATTCTCGTACCAGAATGCATGTTAATGTTACTATACATGATACATCTTGCCAACACATGAACGCCCCATTGGGTCCGGTCAAGGTCGATGCACAATATGTTTTTAGTACAATTTATTTCTGTTATATGATTTGCAAGTAATGATTGTGAATTTTCTTCCTCCAAAATATTTTGGAAAAATTTAAAGTTGACTTGATACTTTTTTTTTTAGGTTGCATAATTTTGCTGCCGTTGTGATGACAGTCAACAGCATCAATAACGGAAAAAAAATTTAATAATTACAAAGTCAGATTGTAATAATCTTTATTATTTTCCAAAAGCATTAATCATATATTATTATGTGATCGAGTCAATGTATTTTTATTTTTTCACCGGCCATGAGAAGTCTTTGCATATTGTAGTTACTCTTCAATTCTCATATTTTATATATAATTCAAATAAGTTCAAACAAGTTAGTAATATATCTCAAAATTTTATATAAGTGGTAAGGATCTTAAGACTTTATTATTATTATTATTATTATTATTATTATTATTATTATTATTATTATTATTATTATTATTATTATTATTATTTTGAAAACCAACCAAATAATGATTGTATTAATGAATCAAAGCTGCAATTGAGTCAGCAGGGATAGAATCCCAATACATAAACTGATCCTGTGAAAAAAGCTAAAGAAGCCAGAGTATGTGCATGCGAATTAACATGCCTAGTAACATAACTTAACAAGCAGTAATTAAATAAAGTCATAGAAGTCCTACATTGATCCACTAAGACTCCAACATAGGACAATATTGTCGTTGATTCCTGGCGCATAACATTCCGAAGTTCCATGCAATCTGTGAGAAGATCCACCGTAGTTTCATTTTTGTCCAGAAGCCAGGATATGGCCTCCTTACATGCTAGGGCCTCTATCATAAGTGGCGAGAAACAAACCAGTAGCTTTCCGTTTCGCGCCGCAAAAAAAGGAGCCGTCCGGCGAGAGTAGTACTATGTTGAAGGTTGCCTCTCCAGTGGCCTGCCGGAAACCTGCATCTATATACCATCTCGGCCTGGCGTGATTGCCATTTATCGGTGCTGCAATCGGCATGGGGTGGGAGGGTCGTTGGTCGGCCTGTCGCATCCTCCTCATTAAATAAATCTGCTAAAATATGAGGGTCCCAAGTATTTGTCTGTTCATCAATTAATCCTGCTACCGTGGCGCATCTCAACTCCTCAGGCATATCCGTTTGAATAAGGGGCTGGGATCATCTGGTAACCATGGGTATTCCCAGATTAAAGTTGTTTCACCATCACCAATTCTTCTTCGTACCCCTGCTACAACCATATCATGGGCTGCCATAATACTTCTCCAAGAATAACTTGGGCAATTTCCTACCTTGGCATCAATAAATGAGGTATTAGGAAAATATCGTGCCTTATAAACTTTTGCAATCAGGGAACGAGGGTTTGTGAGGAATCGCCATGCTTGTTTGCCTAACATAGCCAAATTGAATCCCCTGAGATCCTTAAAGCCCAAACCACCAAACTTCTTCGGGATACATAATTTATCCCAAGCTTTCCAGTGAATTTCCCTTTCCATACCAATACCCCACCAATATCTGTTCATGGTCCTTTGTATTGACAAACAAACTGTATCAGGGAGTAAGAAAACACTCATCGAAAAGGTAGGCATTGATTGTGCTACACTTTTCAATAGAATTTCCTTCCCAGCCTGTGAGAGCAACTTCTTGTTCCACGAACCAATCCTCTGCTTGATTTTATCTTCAACATAAGAAAAAATCGCTCTCTTATTCCTTCCTACAAAAGAGGGTAGCCCCAGGTATTTTCCAAAGTTGGGTGTCTGGTCAACCTGCAAGCACGTCGCCACCTCCCCTTTCTTCCTCCCTGGTGTTCCTACTAAAACAGATATTAGATTTATGATAATTCACCTTTTGCCCAGACAACTCCTCATAGCGCCCCAAGCACTGCTTTATCACACTAGCCTCTTGAATATTTGCCTTAAAGAATAACAGTCATCTGCAAAAAAAAAAAAAAAAAAAAAAAAAAAAAAAAAAAAAGCAGGTGTGATATAGGAGGCCCCTCTAGCCACCCTACAACCATGTATAGAACCAGTCATTTGAGCCCTCTGCAATAACATAGACAAACCTTCTGCACAAATAATGAATAAATATGGAGAAAGTGGGTCTCCCTATCTGAAACCCCGGGTTGGAGTCAAACTGCCACTGTTAACACCATTTACCAAGATATTATACTGAACTGTAGTTACACATAACATTATCAGATTAACCCAACGATCATTAGACCCCATAACCTCACGCATTCTTCGCAGGAAATTCCATTCCATTCTATCATAGGCCTTTGCCATATCCAATTTCAAGGCCCCCCAACCTGTCAGACCACACTATTTCCTATTTAAATAATGGCCCACATCCACAGCTATGAGAATATTATCAGTAATTAGCCTATCAGGAATAAAAGCACTCTGTGATTCCGAGATTAGATCCCCCATAAGTGGTTTCATTCTATTGGCTATTACCTTAGCCATAATTCTATATAAAACATTACTCAGGGCAATTGGCCTCATATCAGCAACCGTCTCAGGTACATTCTTCTTAGGGATTAAAATCGCATTTGTATCATTTAAACCTTCAGGGAATGAACCTGAATTCAAGCAATCCATAATAAACTCAGACACATCCCCCCTACAACATCTTAAAAGTGCTGGTAGAACCCAGGGTTCATACCATTCGGTCCTGGTGCTTTATCGGGAAACATTGCAAACAGTGCACTCTTAACCTCCTCAGATTCAATAGGTCGCAACAAAGCAATATTTCGATCATGAGTTACACGGGGGGCAAAATCATCAAATAAGGGATCCCCACACAGAATTAGAAGAGGTAAAAATAGTTTCATATTCTCACCATCCACCCACACACCAACATCATTTTTAATTCTAGAAATAAAGTTCTTTCTCTTACAGGCAGAGACATACCTGTGATAAAACTTTGTGTTGGCATCTGCACCACGAAGCCAGTGCTACATAGCTCGCTGCCTCCAAAACACATCCTCTTGAACCTCCAGCTGGCTAAGCCTCTCCTCGAGCCGCCGCAACTCAGCCAATGCAGCTGGATCTCGTCGGTCACGTAGTGCCTCCTGCTTTCTTTTCAACCGCTTCATGCGGTCACCGAATCTATGGAAGTGCTCCCCGCCCCATCGCATGAGCCTACCACCACAATGCTGCTGACAATTGAGCAACCCCATATCTCTACCTGCCAGGCAATTTCCACCACATCCCTACACCCCTCGTCATGGACCCAGGCCATCTCGAAATGAAAACCCCTCGGTCCCCCTTGCCTGTGCACCGTTGTTGTATTAGTGTCCAGAAAGAGAGCCGAGTGATCTGAGTTACGAGTCTGGATATTTTCTACCCAAGCCCCATCGTGCATATCAGTCCAACGCGCCGTTACCAGAACCTTATCCAACCTCTCCTCTATCCAACCATCTGTACGACTGTACCCCCTCCTTTCTCCCATGTAAACTGATGTCCTCTCATTGGTAATTGGAGTAAGCCACAGCTATCTACCGTCTCACCAAAACCTCCCAGAATACTATTATTATTATTATTATTATTATTATTATTATTAATCAAACTAAAATTTGTAATTTTGACCCCACTCCATGACACTCGCCCGATAGGAGTTAGTAAGAATTGAACTTATGACATTATGGTACAATAATCATACTATACCAATTTGGTGACCTTTCAAGATTGTGTTATTTTCTAGCTATACACACACACACACACACATGTATATGTTTGATGTAGTTTGGTTGTCCGCATGGGCAGCTCAGTTGGTCACATGGGTGAAATGTGAAAGATGATCTGTATTCAAGCAAAAACATATATACGTATATATACTGTATAACGAAGATACCTAGTCTAAAAGGAGAATAAATATAACAGAAATAAACTAAAACAATGCAAAGAATACTACTGCTTAATAGGGGGCTCATTACGCCCATCACCCCATATGCTATGTTGGGCTGGGGCGTGGGGGCCATTGGTGTTGGGGATTCAATCTTTTGGGACAATGATGTATGTTGGTTGAAAAAAATCAATTAACTCAATTAACTAAACTTTTGAATCAAGATGATAGAAAATTGAAAATTTGATTTTTTTGATTGGTTAATGATATAAATTAGTTAAACTTTACAACAAAATTTAGTGCAAAGATTTTGGAATATTTAGCATTATTCAGTTTTTATATTATCTAATGTGATTAAATTAGTCTTATAGCACATTCATATTAATAGTTAGCTATCAATAAATTGACCAACTCTATTGTGAATTAATCACGTAAAGCTATACCAAAATGTGTATAAATTGATACAAGCAACGTAATTCCTTATTTTTTTTTAGTGGGAAGGGCACTAGAGCCACGTCGATATCGATTTGATACATCGTAGTTGGTATCTACCAAGAATAAATTTAGAGACTATAAAAAAAAGGGTACTGCAATAAATCATACAAAGTAATTAAATATATCATAATTTTAATAATTGTTAGTTTTCATACAACGAATTTAATAATTAATAATACTACAAATTAAAACATATTAAACGTATAAAGTAAAAATCTATATTACATATTCTCAAAAAAAAATGTATATTACATTCTCAAAATATTTTATAGATAAATATTTTGTGTTTAGATTTTCACAATAATATTGAATTTACTTTCACTTTTTATCTTAGTTTGACGTGACATATTATCGATTTGGACCTTTTAGTCCTTTTATTTTTGGTCAGGTCACAAATTTTATTAGCCAATCGACTAGTAACTAAATACCAAAATTAATATTATTCGTGCTCGAATAAAACTTCATTTGATTAAATTAAAAGAGACCCACACTATTTCAACTACACCTCACGAGTCACGAGTAATCCTTTTATTTTATTTATTTATCTAATAAAATCAAAACAGGGGAATTTTTATTATTATTTTCCATATTTTCATCATTAATAGTAGGTTCTATTTTAGGGTTTCTTTGGAGTTCATTAGTAATTATAGATCTTACCCAAGTCAAAAGGAAACAACAGTAAAGTTGACGTTTACGGTTACCCAAAAGAAAAATTATATATAATATACTCCGTAATATATATCTGAAAATTTAAGAAAAAAAAATAGTTAAATGGCAGATAAATTTTGACATGGAAATCTACGAAACCGTCGGCTTATC